AGTTTTTTTCCCCCCCCCCCCCCCATTGTGTACAAGTGCAGTTCATATATTTATTTACTACAGGTCCCAGGCAGAAGTTACATTTATGCCATGATTAACACATTGTACTATAAATAGTAACATGGAACATGTTCAGCCAATTTGTGGCACATAAAATGACAGACCTATATTATATGTGGAACATCTTTTGTGGCTGGTTTGTACAGTATCTTTAAATTGGAATGTTATATACTTTTCATTCTGATTCTTGGTGTTGGGAGAAGAGCAGCCCCAGCTAGGTAGGAGATCCTGGGCTATGCTGTTCCCCATACCAACAGTCCTTGTTGACAGTGTAGCTGGGGCTGCTCAAGTGCTGCCTGATAGAAATCTGAGCTTCCCCCTTTGCAGGTTCAAAGCTGTGCCAGCAGCCCCAGATGGGGGACTACCAATGAGTCATCACTGCAAGTACCAGTTGAGGGGAGTCAGTTGGCTTGGCCTGCCCAGCAAGTTCAAATCTGTGAACCCAGCAGCTCTGCATTGCAATCCATGTGCACTGGCATTTTGAAAGAGCTATTAGGATTGGATCCCTGATCCTCAAAACTGCATTTCCTGCCACGCACGTGTGGAGTGATGGGATGCATTGGTTTTGCAATTGGGATCAGACTTCATTTGTGCCATTAAATTTGACATCTTCAAAGTACTTGAAATTCATTTTGTGTGTGTGTGTGTATATGTATATATATGTGTGTGTGTGTATATGTATATATATGTGTGTGTGTGTGTGTGTGTGTGTGTGCGTGCATGCATGCATACATACAGTGTGTGTGTGTTTTAATACAATAATTTATATAAGCCCTTAATGCTACCTCTTCTTTCTAGACTAAGAGTATTATAGCAGTTTACAGCTGGTAGGCTTCTGAAACAGACATCATTCTTCTTTCAGTTCTTCCTCTGCCTACCCTCTACCCATCCCTTCAGTTTTGGACAGCTATAACAGTTCTGATCTAGAAACCAATGTAATATTAAAGACTAAATTCTGATCCTTCTGAATGCAGTTGTTCTTGTGTGTGTTTTATGGCATCAGTGTTTGGTCCTAGCATAAAAGATTTCCTTTCTTTAAGTCCAATCTTTGGAAATTGGATTAGTTATGGAACTGAGTATGAGGTAGATTTTATTTGCAGAAGTCTACTATTGTGCAAGCTACCTGTAGGTGAGTGCTTTCAACTTCAGTGTGCATACTGGCCTGTGTGGCCTCTCTTGGACTCTTTTGTGAGGTGTAGTCTACTTCAGTGGGAACTGTGGCTAGAGTTGCAGGGGGAAAATGTGTTCAAGTTCTTAAAATTAATTCACTTCCTGTTAAAACATATGACTGATTTACAAAGCTTTGAAATACTTTAAAGCTTCATAAGCTAACTTGAAATACTACAGCAGAATCCGTTGCTTTACTTTATGCTATATCTATAAGCTTACAAATCTTTTAGTAGGAAATGTTAAAGTTTCATTTTTTTATGCTGTTGTTGGTGGCTTGAAAGACATTTGACTTGATCATAAATGCTTCCTCTCCTCCCACCACAACTTTGTTTCTAATTTGTTTGCTTTCCTTTAGACGTAAATGCACCTCTTCTAGTAAAGTGTGCAATAATTAAATCCTTCTTTTTGTCGTCTTTGTTTAGGTGGATGGATGATGGTCTAATAAATGATATTACCCCAAAACTGATAGGCACTAGGCCTAATACTTACACATATACAAAAGCCTTAGCAGAATATGTGATGCAGCAGGAAGGTGCAAAACTGAACATAGCCATCATAAGGCCATCCATTGTTGGTGCTAGCTGGAAGGAGCCTTTCCCTGTAAGTTACTTTGTCTCCCACTGAATAACTTCATCTGTTTCTTAGCCTGTAAAGTGAATGCATCCTGGTTCATTGCAAGGACTTTAGGTCAGAAGTCTAAACTGCAGTTTAATCACTCGTGAATACCAACCTATATTATCAAACCACTTTAGTTTCTGGTTTTTGTGTACTTGAAAGTTTTTTTTTTTTAATGAACTTTAAAGGGTAAATTACTTCTAAAACCTTGGGGCAGTATGGGTCTGACAAATGCACGTACACGTTTTGGGTGGGTTTTTTAGTCATCTGCTTCCTGCTCCAATTTATTGTCTCTTTCAAGCTGCTCTACATTGTGCTAGTTGCCAGTATCTTTAGGGGGTCATAAGGAAAACTGGAGGCTGCCTACCAATGTCGTCCCCCCCCCCCCCCAAAAAAAAAAAAACAAAAATGTATGAACTGTATCCAGGTTGTAGCTGTATTGGTCTAGAGGAAAAGGCAGTCGGAACTCATAGTAGAGATGATATCTTTTATTAGACCAACAAGATTTTTGCAAAAAAAATTCTTTAATGGCAAGCTTTCAGGCA